GTTTTGAACAGACTTCCTGCCTTGCATCAACAATTTGATTTGCCAGCTCCATTTGTTTTGCACACTGATTGTCCTCATTATTGGCGCTATCATCTTCCAGGTTGTGGTCGACTTCTTGGTTTTGTGATTGATCTTCACTTTCTTTTATATTTCTTCTTAAACTTATGCATGATGCACCTTTTGTAACAGGTGAAACAGAGGAGGAGTTTGCTACCAGGTTGGCAAATAATCTAGAAAATCTTATCCTCAAAGAGGGACCAGAGACGGTATAACTGCTACGATTAATACTTCCTTGAAGTCAAAGAAAACTTTGTTAAGATCTTTAAGCCGAAGCAGAGTAAATTAATTTGAATTTGATATACTGTGGTTTTTCCACTTCAGATTGCTGCATTTATTGCTGAGCCTGTCATGGGAGCAGGAGGTGTAATTCCTCCCCCGGCAACATACTTTGACAAGGTATTCTGCAGTTCATACTAAAATATCGGCTCATGTCGTTCTTTTTTATTTGACATGTTGTGTTTTTTGACACTATTCAGAAACTCTACTTTGACTAGCTTTTGCAATTTATATTTATGATTATAACATTGTCATGTGAGATCTTGTTAAAATCGTCTCAATGTATTTTTTTTGTAATATCAACCTTTTGTAATTTTTACTTATTGATAATTAGAGATATTGATCGTGAAACTTGTGCATTGGAAATTGTGATAAAAAAAGTGTCAACTATAAAAGATTGGAAGAAGTATACTACTACCTTCATTTCATAATGTCCTTAACATATTCTGATTTTGTCCGTTTCATAATGTTCTTAACCTATCTACTTTATTCCATATAGGGCAAACCCCTCTTACTACCTTACTCCACAATATTGAAAATTGTTATATACACCCGGGTTCAAGGTGCACCCAAGTGTATATTGCTCATTTGATATATTTTTTTTTTTTTGCTCATTTTAAAATCTAAAATGAGCAAAATTAAATCAAATGAGCAAAAAAAACACCTTTGGTGCACCTGGGTGTGTATAAAAGGTTTTCCCACATTATTACCCCAGGCTATTCACTTATCCACCTTAGCTTTTCTTACACCCACCCTGTTTTACTCTCTCTTATTTTATTCACCTTAAATTGGCTCTCTATCTGTCACCTAGTTCTTACACCCACCCACGGTGTTACACTTTCTCTCTCTTTTGCCTTAATTCTTGTGCAAACAGTAGATGTAAAGAACATTATAAAACGAAAGTAGTATCTATTTGGAATTTGATGTGTTACACTCTTGAGCAAGTTGGTATTTAATGCCATTCATGAGTGACTCGAAAATTTAACTCTTTGCATGCATTCTCTATATCCTCACTTTTAGAAATATATGAGTAATTAACAATGATGATAAATTAACCTTTCAAAAATTAAGAAAAAGTTCCTAAATGAGTAAATGGAATATGTAGTTGTAGTAAAAGCTGTAATAAGAGTGCAGAAAGGAAGAGATTTTACTAGTTAGTCTTCTCTGTCCTGTATTTTGAGTCCTGATGAGCCACCAGCAACTGCAACCCTTTGGATCCCATCACCTCTTTTCTACCCCTTTTTTCTCCTTTACTCCCCTCCAGGGCTTCACCTCTTTCTGTTCTCCCTTGTTCTTTCCTCTCCATACTCCACTCTTCTCAGTTCTCTACCCCCTCTCCTTTGCACCTGGGTTCTTCAGTTCTCATCAGCCTTTGCTGGAGGTCTGCTTTCCCTGTCTAAAAATTTGAAGAGAGGGTTGTATGGAGTGAATAAAGTGATTGCATTAGATAAGGCCTCAAGGGATGTAATCTTGTAATTGATATCAATTGAAGAGCACAACTCTTGCTGTTCTCTGTATGCACGCTGTGAAGCCAGCAAAAAGAGGTTAAGGATGTTTTGACTGCGACAGCCCATTACTCTACCTTCATCAGCTTAGCCATGTTGGGTGAGGGGTTATATGTGGCGGGACAGAACAATGATTTAGGGTAAATGAGTCTTTAGCGTAAACTGTTCCCTGCTATGTTTCAACTAATGGGTTCCCCTTATATGCAAAGATTGTCAATTTGTGATGCACTGTTTAGTATCCATTATCTTTCTTATTTATAAGTCCATATATCATTTCCAGTTTGGTGTAGCATGCCTTACATCATATATGCATTCGTGATAGTAGCTAATTCTGCAAAACATTGTGAGTGAGAATTTATCAAGTAAGTTGACAATATATGGTTAGGGATAGTAGCTTTTTTTTTTCCGTCTGTAATATGCATTCTTTACATTGTTTTTAAGATTTTTACTTTATCATATTGGCACAGGTTCAACCGATATTGAAGAAATATGACATCCTCTTTATTGCAGATGAGGTACATTTTACCCTCCCTTTTGATTAGACATGTCGAGGAGATTACTATTGTGCTGTTCACTTCTGAACTTCATTCTCTTATTCATGCAAAAGTCTTCCTTTTCTATTTTTGTCTTGTTTTGTAGGTTATCTGTGCATTTGGAAGACTTGGTGAAATGTTTGGTTCTGATAAATACAACCTCAAACCAGACCTTGTCTCCATGGCTAAGGTAGGCATGTTGTTCAAACTCTTGGTCTCTTTGTGCTTTAGGTTCTTGGTTGTTTATTTCCGTTGCTTTTACAGGCTTTGTCTTCAGCTTACATGCCCATTGGAGCCATACTAGTAAGTCCTGAAATCTCAGAAGTTATAAATACTCAAAGCAGCAAACTAGGTATGTTTCTATTGCAATATACTTTGTACGAAGTAATAGTATTACAACTCTATGAAAATATTTTATTTTAATACTCTGTAAGAAGTCATTAAGGGTTTTGATATATAAATTGTAGGTTCCTTTTCTCATGGATTCACGTATTCTGGGCACCCGGTTTCTTGTGCTGTTGCACTCGAAGCACTGAAGTTATACAAGTATGATCTTCCTGGATCCTTGCTCCCCTACAAATCTTCAATTGTCCATTATCTTAATTTGTTCCCTTTTATCCCCCCCTCCCCCCCTTATTTTTTTCTTGGAAAGGTGAGGCTTGGAGGCTGTGTTACGGTATATAAGTGTTCAAAATATTCTAATTAAGCAACTACAGTGACATCTGAATATACTATCTTTCGTACCCCTTGTAGCAAGTTATTGGGGGTAGTATTTGTGCCAGGCATCTTTCAATTACATTTGGCTCAATAAGAGTAGATCAATTTATATTTCAAATATTTCAATCCCATGTAAGGGTAAGGTGTATGCAGTCTCATATGGAAGGTCATTTGAATGGATTTTGGCTTGTGTACCCTGCATTTTCTATTCTCTCTGAGTCTGATATGCGCCTTTCTAATGGGAGGAAGAAGAACTGGAACTACATCTAGCAAAGAGGGTTGGTATTTGGTCCAGTGACTATTTCACCTGGTTGTAGATCTTGCAGTTTGGCTGATCATACTCCTAAAAGGTTATGACGTACCCAAGAGAGCTATTTGATTAGTGAAGCATGCTAGACTTGCTCACACTATCAGCTTAGCACTACATGCTACGCTACACTCTCTTGCATTAGGTAGGTTTAGAATGATGACTGAAGGTCTGGGTTGTCTCGTTAATTCTAGTTTCTCAGTCATGAAGTACCATTGAAAATGTATGTGCTTGACACCGTGTTGGTGTCTGGATTCTGGAGCTATTGGTGCTTGAAATGCTTACTGTGTACTTATGGATTGTTATGTCTGTCAACGATTGGTAGCAGCTGATGTCAGCTTTTTTTTTTTTTTTTTTTCAGGGAAAGAAATATTGTTGAGCGTGTAAGGAAACTTGCACCCAAATTTCAAGATGGAATTAGAACTTATGCTGACAGTCCTATCATTGGGGAGGTATCTTTTAGTGATATTTTTTTTTTCTCGGGTTTTTATCTGGCTTGTGTTTATTGTTGCTGCTTGCCAGTAGCATTTAACATTGCTACGTAATTTTTTCATACAGATAAGAGGAACTGGCTTAATTCTTGGAACTGAATTCACGGATAACAAGTCACCAAACGATCCGTTTCCTCCTGAATGGGGCAAGTTTTTTTTTTTTTTTTTTTTTTTTATATGTGTTTTTTATAACGTGTATATATATCTTTTTATTTCCTAGTTACTTTCCGCAGCTATCCCTGATTATACTTGAAATGACCTCTCTCCTTGAGTTTTATCTTACTACCTCATGCACAGTGGTCTTAAACCCTCTTGCATGATGACTATTGTATCTGACTATCTGCCTTGTCAGATGCTTAATCTAATCTGTATAATTATCTCATACTCCTGATTATTTAAATTTCAGGAATCGGTGCATATTTTGGGGCACAATGCCAGAAGCATGGAATGTTAGTTCGTGTGGCCGGTGATAACATTATGATATGCCCTCCACTAGTTATCTCCGAGGGAGAAATTGATGAAGTGAATATCTATTCCACTAAGACTTGCAAATTTTTTTAAAAAAAATTTCAATGCATGACATTTCAGTGCCTGGTTATCTAGGAAGTATGTTCCTTGCTTATATCATGAATGTTATTTTTAATATATACCGACATTATTTTCTTTGTATGATCCACATCAGTTAATTACCAAATATGGGAAAGCACTGAAGGACACCGAGGAGAGAGTGAAGGAGCTGAAGGCCCAGAAGAAGTAAGGTTCCTTGCTGGGTTGATAATGGCGAAAATGAAGTTCTTTCACATTTTCTTATGTAAATGATGGGTTCCTTGTGATGACATGATAGTCATTGTAAGAATATTACTATGCCTTAATTAATAAATGCATTATTTCCAGACCATTATTGTGCAGTGCCCTGTTTTATAAATCCCGGGTTCAGAGTTATATCTTATACAGAGTAAAAGTCACAAGTATCTCTAATGGAGAAATGTAAGATTTTACAAGTTCATTATAAAGCGTGTTTTTTCATAAATCACGAGTATCAGATCGGTAATAAACGACATCTCTCGACAATATAACAGATCACTCAATTCAGTCAGTTGCTAGCTGGTTGTACAAAAGGTACAAGTGTTGATGATTGCAGATAATTTTCTGGTTGAAAATTTGTCTGTGTAAATATAGCGTAGTTTATATGCATCATAATCCATATGATGTAGACATGTAGTACTGGTTGAAAATTTGCATACATTGTAGATAAGATTGCGAAAGCTAAAGCCTAAAACAGAGAGTATCATACATGCTTCTGGGAATTCCACTCTTAAGGTGAAGCATAGGAGTTGCTACTGCTGTTGAAGAGCTTGTTTAAGTATTGGATTTCTTGCTCGCTTTTCGTCGGGCACGACGTTCTCGGGAGCTCATAGAGGACTGAAATCCCATTCCATCATCTTCTTCCTTGTCTTCATATTCTCTGAATGATTTCTGTTCAACAGGTTGCTCAAATTTACATTTTTATTTCAACTGCTTAGCTAAAAAAACTCTGAAGAAATGGATAAAAATGATACCTCGCGAATTTCAGCGAAGCTAACAGCATAAAAGGTGACTGCAGCAACTGCTACTATGGCTGCTACTGGCACCACCATTTGCATTCCTATTCCTTCCATATTTTTCTTTCTCTTTGGACCCTCTCAAGTCTCACCCTCTTTGTGTGGCTCTTATTAGTTTTAGGTGAAAGATATAATAATGTAATAACACTTTTTCGCTTTTGTTAGTGTCTCATTTGTCATTTCTCACTTGCCATAATTTTAGGCATTAATAGATTTATTTATCTTTTAGTAAATTTTTATTAATAATTTGTTATACCTCAGTAATATTATTTAAACCCCTTGTGGCTCTCTAAAACACACAAAAAAAAAAAAAAAAAATTTAAACCTTGTTAAGTTCACCTTAAAAAAAAAAAAAGAATATTTAGCAAAAATAATTTTACTAAAACAATAATTTCAATTCAGCATAAAGTGAATGGGCCATACAAATAGAGCACAAAATTGTTCAAAATGAGTTTTTGAATTGTACAAATGAATATTGACAAAAAGTTTAGTACTCTAAAAGGATGATTTTTATCTGATTAATTTGCTTGTACTCAAAAATTGATAAATGTCGTAATTTCGCGTGGTTTTTTTTTAGTCAATGAATCATTTACAGTGTTGCATGTTAAGGGCAGCCTTAAGGGTGAACAAAAAAATAGTTCACAATGAGTGAACAAGTGAATGGGTGGCTTAATGGTGATCTCTATAATTGTTCATAGTGAATGGTTGTGGGATCGATTGCTGCTGCAAGCATTTGGACGAATTTATGGATTGTGGGCCCCACCCATTTTTATTTTTTTTTCAGGAAAAAAAATAGAAAGCAGTGGCTGGGAGCGCGCCACTTGGCCCAGCCGCTGCTTGACACGTGTCACTGTTTTAAATAAATCCGTTGTAATTTTGCAACGGATATATTTTACAAAACACAAATCAAAAAAAAAAAAAAAATTACCAACGGCTCTATTTTTTTCCCCTCTATAAATAGACACCCATATTGCTATACTTTCTTCAACTTTGAAAATCCATTTCTTTCTACTATATTTTTCTCTTCAAAAATCCCCTCTATAATTACCAATATTATTATTATTATTATTATTATTATTATCATTTTTATTATTATTATCGTTATTATTATTATTTCCTTTATTATTATTATCGTTATTATTATTATTTTTATTATTATTGTCGTTATTATTATTATTATTAAATTTTTATTTTTTCCATATATAAATTATAATTATGGATGCTAATACCAACCCCAAAACAAATAGAAAGAAGAAAAAAAATTTGGGTCAAAATATGATCCTTCAAGCTCGTTTTGCCATTATTAAAAAGCCGTCTTTGGCGTGGGATACCGACATACTCCACAATATCATGCTCGCCTGCATCATAATACATAATATGATCGTTGAAGATGAACGAGAGACGTATCAAAATAACGTTAATACCAATGAGTTTATGAATGCTGGAGGCAACGCTAATGAGGACACTACCGAGTACCGTACTGATCGTATTGTGGATATCGGCTTATACTTGTCTCGTAGAACAGAGATTTAGGATCAACAGACTCATTTGCAGCTAAAAAACGACTTGGTCGAACATATATGGAATAAAGTTGGTAACAACGAAAACTTAGGCAACTAGGTTTACAACAAATGGTTATCCCTAAGGACATCTTACAAAACGATGTGTAGTTGTTTTTTTTTTTTTAAAATAAAATGTACTAGATTATAGTTGTAGAACTGTAATCACGATTTGTACCTCTTTTTTTTTTGTTAATTAAAATTAGCTGCGTTGTTGTTTAAAAAATATTAATCACAAGAATTAGTTTTTTAAAAAGCTGATAAAAAAATGCGATAATTTCTTAATTAGTAATCACGATTAAAATATTAAATACGTCAATTAATTACATTGACATCGGGTTAATAAATTATAATTATGAAACAAAAAAAATTATATTTACAAAAATAAAATAAGGTGGGGTAGGGAGTATTGATGATGAACCATTGTTTAGTGTTCATTGTTAAGAGTGAATATTGTAAATGGTTTGTTAGGTTGATGTGGATGAGAGAGAAATGGTGATAGTGACCCATGAACCATTTATTTGGGTTCACCAATAAAGATGCTCTAAGAAACAAGAAAAGTATAATGAATGATGATTGACAATTTTGTACGATGAACTTTGTCAGCTTGATATTGTCGTGCACGTAATATTGAACATTATCTTAACAAAATTGTATACGTACCAATTAGATCGAGTTGGTTAATCCCTTTGATATGTTAACACCAATCAACAATTTTCTTCAAGCTTTAACTCGAGATGTTATTATCCTATTGCAATTGCTGCTTACATTTGTTGTTGCTATTAATTGGCGCCATTTCTTTTTATGGTAACACTTAGGGGGTGTTTGGTATGAAAATTTGTACCATAGGAAATGTAAACAAATAAGTGTTTTCGTTCCTATTAGTTTGGTATGAGGTATAAGTAACAAATACCGTTTCCAAAGGGTAACAAAATCCCCCAAATTGTTACCCTTATCCAATTAGCGGAAACAAAATGTGTTTCCTTCCTCAATCATAAACTCCTCAATTTGTTTTTATTTAATAAAGATACCAAACGTATATCAAAGGTAACGTGTATCATTACCTTTCCCTTACTTATATAAATCCTTTCCATTCCGTTTACGGAATCTATACCAAACACCTCCTTAAATTATCACGTAATACCCATTACTTCCAATTATAGTGTTAAGCTCAAATTTTGGTATTGCACAAGCTGTTTAAGTATTTTAATACCCGTCGATTTGATTACATGATGGGAATTAGGTGCGTCTTCTCTCAAAACTGTGACAGTCAAGTCAAGACGGGATTAATTAAAGTCATTGTATTCACATTGCACACTGTATCGTCTGCCTTTATGTGGCTCTCTTTAGTAGTTCATGCATGATGCATAGTAAATTCCTTAGTACGAGTAGACAATCATGAATTCAGATTTTCTTAGAAAACTAAGCTGTCATTTACTTGAACACTTCAACAAAATTCAACATTTACTGCCTAACTCAATCATTAATTGCTTTATAAATTTGTACTAATTAGAATCAAATGTATCATGTTCATTAATACTTCAACATAATATCTCACTGTCTTTTGAGGATAATTCTTGAAATTTCCCTTATTCAAAACACTATACATATATATATCATCTCTCTTTTGAAGATTATACCGCGAATATGAAACATTTCATTCAATCAATCTCTAAGGCAATCTAGGTCTTTGAGTCCTTCCTGCCAAATTTAGAGTCTTATTAGTCCATTAGCAATGCTTGCTTAATGTTTAGTTTACTTGCATGATCATTGTTAACATTATTTCATTTGATAGCATGTAACATTATATATCTGTTTCTGTCAAAAAAAAAAAAAAAAAAAAAAAAAACAGACATATATATGTTAGCTTCATTTGATAAAATTGATTTTTACAATTGACTGGATTATTTAGGCTAGTTGCTCATTTTGTGTACCTTATGTACTCCTGACAAATGTTTGCTGCATTTTCGATTCTGCAGTCGAGTTCAAATCAGAAACAATGAAACATGCTGCCATTTCTGCCCCCAGGGCCTCAAAACTGACCAGATATGCTAGTGCAAGTAATGCATCAGTAGACTCAACTACAGAAAGCAAGAAATGGTACAAATGTAATTCATTTCTAATCATAATTCAGATGATCACATCTCTGACATAAGTTCTGTCTCTATTTGTGGTTTTAGCTTCAAAGGGCATGGTATGTTGGCACCTTTCACATCTGGGTGGCAAACAACCGAATTAGGTCCATTGGTGATAGATAAGTCTGAGGTAGATCCTTGTTCATCATACTTCTATTAACTGTATCATAGTTTCAAGAGACTGAAAGTTATATTGTTGTGCTAATACACTTATTTTCTTCCTGCAGGGTTGCTACGTGTATGATATCGATGGCAATAAGTATCTTGATTCTCTTGCAGGCCTGTGGTGCAATGCCTTAGGTACTGATTGATCTTAATATGATGAAGATATATACCTCAGTATCATTCATTTATGCTGATTTTGTTGTTACCTCGAATATATAGTTCTATTTTGTTGGTTGTGCTGCAACTATGTCTGATGCCTGGACTGAAACTTGCAGGAGGAAATGAAGCTCGACTTGTTGCTGCTGCGACTGCGCAGTTGAATAAATTGCCGTTCTATCATTCTTTCTGGAATAAAACTACCAAAGTGTCTTTAGTAAGTGCTGCATACAGAGTCCTTCACATTCAGAACATGTTACCTTTTGAGTTCTTACTCAGCATGTTATGATTAATAGTTTGATCTTGAGCTCTTTCATAGACTGTAGATTTGGAGTTTCAATATTAGGTTGTTTGATGTTCTTGTCAAGGTCTAATAAATTAGGAAAGCAAGCCTGGTATTTGTTCTGTGCTCTTGACATCCTGCATCCAATTCGAGGAATTGTTTATAGTAATCATTTGGTCAATTCTGCAGGATCTTGCTGAGGAGCTTTTACAGACTTTTACAGCACGAAAAATGGCAAAAGCCTTTTTTGTAAATAGTGGATCAGAAGCTAATGATACTCAGGTAAGTAGTAACTAGTAAGTTCTCTGTGAAGTTTTGTGCTAACATACGCGTTATTTTGTTTATGAGTGTTATCTTGACACGAGGGTTAGGGAATTTGTTTGTGTGCAGGTGAAGCTGGTTTGGTACTACAACAATGCCCTTGGAAGACCTAAGAAGAAAAAAATTATTGCTCGAATGAATTCGTTATTTTTCCATCTTATCTTGTGTAATATCTAATTTTCATTTTAAAGGAATTGATGAACTTTACCCTTTCATTCCTTACATTTGACAGATACCATGGTACTACTCTTGTAGCTGCTAGCTTATCAGGGTAAAGATAAGGTTGCATAGTGGATAACTCAACTTCTTCGTGCTCATTATCGAAACTAATTCTCTCATATTTTTTTTAATAGGCTTCCTCCAATGCATCAGCAATTTGATTTGCCAGCTCCTTTTACTTTGCACACTGATTGTCCTCATTATTGGCGGTATCATCTTCCAGGTTGCTATTGATTTTTCAGTTCAGTGATCAATCTTCGCTTTGATTGTTCTGTTCCTTCTTGGACTTACATGATACACTTCTTCTGTACTAGGTGAAACGGAGGAGGAGTTTGCAACCAGATTGGCAGATAATCTAGAAAATCTTATCCTCAAAGAAGGACCAGAGACGGTATTGAAATGCTATGGATTAGTATTTTGATCTTTAGGTTTAAGTCTTCTATAAAAATTTGTCCATTGATGTAAAGTGTTTTTCTGTTTCAGATTGCTGCATTTATTGCTGAGCCTGTCATTGGAGCAGGCGGTGTAATACCTCCCCCAGCAACATACTTTGACAAGGTTTGTTAGAACTGCTAATTACCTGTTTCAATATGCCAGTGTTGCGTCCTGAGTTTATGTTACAGGATCTGTTAACTGGTTATTATTTGCAAAGTTTCTACTGCAATGTTTACTCCCTTAAAAATCAAGAGTTTGATGCACCATTACTTACTGTATACTGAACTAGTAAAACCGCTTGTATGCCATGTATACAGGTTCAAGCAGTACTGAAGAAATATGACATCCTCTTTATTGTGGATGAGGTATGTTGTACTTGTATATGTTCTCTTTTAATTACATATTTGGACTAGTTTGAAGGGATGAAGAATTAACTATTGTGCTGTTGCTTCTTTACTTTCATATCTTATTCGTATAAGGGCTTATTATCCTCGCTTACTATATATGTTGTCTTGTGCAGGTTATCTGTGCATTCGGAAGACTTGGAGAAATGTTTGGTTCTGATAAATACAACCTTAAACCAGACATGGTTTCCATGGCCAAGGTATGGACATGCTGCTCAATCTTCAAAATCTCGGTCTCATAATAGATAGTGCTAGCTGTAAGTCCTTAGTTATTTATCTCCACTGCTTTTACAGGCTCTATCTTCAGCTTACATTCCTATTGGAGCCATTCTTATAAGCCCTGAAATCTCAGAAGTTATCTATTCTGAAAGCAACAAACTTGGTGTGGATCTATTACAGTAAAATAGTACTTTAGTGCTTTATTGTAACTTGTAAGTGATTAAGGGAATTAATTATGTATTTACTTCAGGTTCCTTTTTCCATGGATTTACGTATTCTGGGCACCCGGTCTCATGTGCTGTTGCACTTGAATCATTGAAGTTGTACAAGTATGATTATCATTAATGTTTTAGGAGTTCATGAACTGTTTACTGTGTGATTAAGGATTATTAACTATTGGTAGAAGTTGATGTTGTCTTATTTTTCTAGGGAAAGAAATATTGTTGAGCGAGTAAGAAACCTTGCACCAAAATTTCAGGACGGAATGAGAATTTTTGCTGACAGTCCTATCATTGGGGAGGTATGTTAGTGTTCTAGTGGTCTTTTCCGCGTCTTTTTCAGTTTAGTGTACGTGATAGAGTGTGCTGTTGCGCTCTGCTAGCTTGCACTTAATAATGTTTTGAGTAATTTTGTGCTACAGATAAGAGGAACTGGCTTAATTCTTGCAGTTGAATTCACTGACAATAAGTCACCAAACAATCCATTTCCTTCTGAATGGGGCAAGTTTCCTGTTTCCTGTTTCCTGTCATCTGTTTCTGTTATAGCCTTATCTATCAGTTGATTTCAGTAAAATTGTTATCAGGTTTACTCCAATCTGTTCTTGGAGCGCGACTGATTTATGTTACGTTATCATCATGCTTACTCTATTCTGTTTTAGCCATCTCTCAGTCCTGGACCTCCTTGTCATCATTGATGTGCAGGAATAGGTACATATTTCGCGACACAATGTCAGAAATACGGTATGATAGTTCGTGAGGCCGTTGATAATGTTATGCTATGCCCTCCACTAATCATCTCTGAGGAAGAAATTGATGAGGTAAAAATTTCAGTTAACTAAAAGAGTTGTTAAACTTCTGTACCATACTGATTTTTAGCAGGTGTTAACATTTTCTGATACAATTTTGCATCAGTTAATTAGCACATTTGGAAAAGCACTTAAGGATACTGAGGATAGAGTGAAGGAACTCAAAGCTCAGAAGCAGTCTAATTGATTAAAAATGAACTACTTTCAAGTTTCAACTCAGAAGAATTGAAGGTGGCCTAGAATTGGCCTTGTAATCATTATTGTAACAACAATATATAAAAGCATCATTTCCCCTTTAATTATCCTTTTTTACTGGTCTCGTCTAGAGTTAATAGTTGCATAAAATCCATTATTTGAAATAATTGCAATTTTTTTTATGTATAGCGTAGTACATTAGTAACTTTACTGAAGGATTGAAGATCAGGGTCTCTTTGTAAAATCCTATTATATCTTTAATGTTGAGAGATAAGAACAACGAGAAAATAAATTCTAAATAGAGGAACTAATTAGTTTGGTATTAAGACTATTAACCCAAAAGCTAAATGTTACTCCATGAATATGTAAAATGCACATGCATACATGTGTGGAGAATGTGTATAGTGATTACTAAAATAAAATCATTTGCTTTGCTTAAACTCAACATTGAGAATATAAATGCCTACATATTATATGCTTTTCTTAAGTTGCATTGAGACATGTTCCTCCAACCTTTCTCAAAAAATTGGATGATATCTTGGAAAATTGTTCTACTCCTTTTACAATAATTTTTTGAGGTTATATAGTCATTTGATAAATCTTAATCTTATATACTTGTACTCCGTATAATTTCTATAAACTATATATGTTGGCTTATTCATTGGCACGTATTATTTATCCTCATAATCCACGCTATAAAGTAATCCCTAATTAAATCTTGCTTGGTTAGTGAACGAGTAAATGAAGCAATAAAAGTGACAATGAGAGCTTCACAATAAATTATTGAAAGATATTAATTATGTAGTACTCGTTTAAGTTTTTCTTAAATATTTAGTCAGCTTATTCATTCTTTTCTAACACCATCTACAGCCCTACATTACATTCTAGCTCTTTTTTGTTTTTTCAGTCACACACATTTTACATGTGATTGATGTCAAGAACAACAAACTTAGAAACCTATAATTCAATTAAGAGAGGCACAAAGAGTATGAGCCTATTAAATTTCCAACTTGTATGCCATTAGACGGATTTCTCAATACTTTACACTTGTTATTTCTCAAATTAATGTAATCTTTAATTCTAGGTTTATCTAATTTATTATATTACAAATAAAAAGTTAGGTTTTGAAAAAAATATGTTGAAACAAATCAAACACAATCTTTCGTGACTATGTAGTATGTTACAATTAGAATTTATGGTCAATATTTCAAATTCTAAACACATTATCAATAGTGTCAAGAAATTTCAAGATCATATTTATCAAAGTAACATGTTGGCTATGTGCTGGTAAAAGATAACAGAGACTACATAATAATTTTTAAAAAAGATGAAGTATATACAATTACTTAACTTTTTAGCAACCCAATTTCTATTCATTCAATTTCAACTTAAATCTCATTTTCAAATGACAAACTAACTTAACACAAACGACTTTCTCCATTTTCTATTAACCGCAACAAATGTACTCTGTAATTTTTACACTATTCACATGCGATACTCAAAATCTCGAGTCAATATCTTGACAACAAACCCAGACGATATATATAGTATACAGTTGGTCTACCTTTTGTCCTCTTTCTTAAGAAAGATATGAATATGAATAATAAGGTCAAGTTCTCATAAATTCACAGCAATAATTACTCATGTCACCTTCCGTACACAATTTCATATAATCATCATTAAATAAATTCATATTCATAAATATTAATTCATTTTTCAATATTTTCATCTTCTAATTTTTTCTAGATTCTTTAATTTTTCACATAATCTTTCTCTCATTTTTCATACTTGTATAAATACATAGATTCTTCTTCTTCTTCTTTCATCAACCCTTTAATTTCTCTCTCCTGTCGCAAATTTTACATTCTAGAATCTTCGAGGAAGTTCGCTAATTCTCTCTCTAATTCTGGTAATCATCTTTAATCTTTGCTTTGATTTTCTGCAAATTTTCTGTTGTTATTTTTCTGAACGTAAAATAAGGTGATGATTGTGATGATTTTGTTTATTTATTGGTTGCTTTTTTCTGGAAAACGACATTCATGTGTTCTTGGATTTTTATTTTTATTTTTAATTTATTTTTGGAATGATGTTTGTTGTTATTGTTAATTTGTTAGCATGATTACTGTTGATTATGGCAATGTACTTTATGAACAACATTCTTGAATAATTTATTTGATGCTGAATTTTGCATATAAATTGTTAGCATTTTGATTATATTGTTCGTTTTGATTAGTATTGCTTGCATTTTTTCGCCGAATTATGTGATGTATTATAATTTGTGTTGTTTGATTTGTTAAACCTGAAATTTTGTTCAAGATTCTTTCTATTAAGGAATTTTTGATGATTGATTCAAAAAAAAAAAAAAAAAAAAAAAAAAAAGGAATTATTGATGATTTTAGCAAGAGCTGTATCAAATGAAAGATAATTTACTAATTATGTCAGGAATAATTACATGTCATACCAACTGATTCTATGATTTTGGCAAAATGTTGTTGTTAGTGGAATCGTGTAAGGAATTAGTTTTTGGAAATTGTCATTTTGTGACTACTGTAGATTTTACAGTTTCTTTTAGGGGGGTTTTACCCTATGTCAAGAGTTATGTGTCCAACGAGTTGATTCAATGATTATTGAACGACCTGCATCTTTCTTTCAGCGAATTATTGCTGTTACAGGAATCACATGTAGGATATGAGGAATTAGATTTTGTAAATGGTCATTTTTTGACTAGACATTACAGTGTCTTAGCGGGGTTTTAATTCTATGCCAAGAATTATGTGTTAAACGAGATTTTGTATTGAATAATGAATACATAGTATGATAGTGTTTTAAGACTTGTAACCCAATCCCATTCTTTCAGCAAACTGTTGTTAGTGAATCATATGTAGAATATGTGGAATTTGATTTTGGAAATGGTAGCTCTTTTGTACTTTTTTAATCTATGTACAAGGTCACAAACACTAATACATGATCCTTGTTGATCCCATGACAAAGTTCTTGGAAGTTCCATATTGCTATGACGATAACAGACTACCAGAACTGGGTCACTCAGCTTTCAAAAGAGTATCAGTTTGAATATCCATGGGTTCCATTTACTTCTGTATTATGTGGTATCTTCGCCTGCAAACTGGTATGTCTTCTTTCCCCCTTTTAAAGAGTTCAGTGTCTCCTTTTTCTGTTCAATTTGTTGAACTGACCATCTTCTAATAGGTGTATGATTTGTCTCACTTAATCAATGGTATCTGCTTCAAGCACTACTCTACCCTTCCAAAGATTAAACAAATTGAATGGGACAATAGGTAACTTTCCAAATGCTTTATTGTTGATTAATGTTAAGCAGTTCTCTCCATAGCTTCCATTTTATTTACTTGAATTTTGAATATTTGCAGGGCTATATCAACTCTGCACGCAATCTTTGTTACAGCTGTGTCGATTTATTTGGCATTTTGGTCTGATCTTTACTCTGATGACCTACAACGGGGGTCCATCCTATTTCGAAGTTCAACGCTGTCAACATTTGTTTTAGGGGTATTGTTCCCAATCTTTGTAGTTTCTACACCTATCAAACTCTTTGGTGGTCTTGCTTTTCTTTTCCATTTTCTTGGAAACTCTGGATTGAATTATATGCTTTATCTCTTCACAGCTTGATTATTTTTCCCATGTCCTTTCATTGATAGTTCTGTTGGGGCCAGGTGACGGCTGGGTAATCAGCCATTCACTGATATGCCTTTTGATAAATATCTAGGTTTCTAGAAATTATTTGGTCTGCATTGAGTAAAGTGTTGATTTCTGCCTACACACTGTGTCTGCTATATGGATGCTGCAAAAATCAACTTTTTAAATTGATTTAGTTTTGATAGTGGTCTTTCTAGAATTCGTGTCATATGTCACTGAGGAGAGTTTAGCTTGAAGAGAAGCGGTATATGATCTGCACGTAGCTTTATGTCTAGTAGGGAAGAATTCCTAATAAGTGTTGTTTGGAATCTAGAAATGAGAGCTGGAAATTGATCTATCTACAAAGAGTACAAACTATAAAACTCCTTTTTTTTCTTTTCTTTTTTGTTTTTTTTTTTGGGGGGGGGGGGGAGTGGTGGTGGTGGTGATGAATAGAATGAATACCAAATTTCCAGTCCACTGTTAATACATTTCTGAAACAATTATAATCTTGTAAATTTTTCAAACCAGACCCTGAGACTGTGCAGATAGGTAAGGCAATACTGTAGCCTTCACCAAACCTCTTGATTATCCTTCTTTTTCATTTCACCTTTGCAGCAGAATCCTCTTTACTTTAATTTGGCCTAGGTGAGCGGAACATATCTGAGTTAAAATGAGCCTTGAAGGACCTTTAAAATTAATGATGTCTTGGTTCTTGCTATGGCTTATGTCGAGCCTCTTTGTTTGGTTATCTTTACTTTGGTTTCTTGCTATGGCTTAAGCAATGTTACATGAGAGCTTATAACTCATGCAATGCTATTGGAACAACTGGGTGATTGATTTAGTATTGCATAATTAGATCATTAGCTGCAAACTTATTCTGGTTAGGGGGTTCAGGATTCTATTTTCCTTGCATGGCTTTCCTGAGCAGTTGGAATTTGACCATCTATGCACCTTAGGTTCTGTGTATGATGCTTTGGAAAGCACAACAGTCTTTAATATAGTCGAGCTGTTTTTTATTCTTTCAGTTGAATGCCTCTCCAGTCACTTTCCAAAGTAATAATTTTGGGATTCAATCCGTCTTCTCATGTGTTAGTCATTATCTCGATAGTAACAATATCACAATGTAGGACCGGTTTGGAATTGAAGCTCTTTCATAATTTGAGATTGTTAGCTTTTTATAGAGAATGATTCTCATGAACCCTTCAGGGTTTTAAAAATATTGAATTTTAATGTAAATGGTTTTTGACTGTAGTGGTCTACTTAATTTGGGCTGGAAGTAACTCAAACCAATTGCAAATGGGGCATGTGCTTATACTTATTCACAGGTGCTTACCTGTTTGACTCTAAAGACATCCATTTGATGTGAATTGGCAAGTTATGGATCTATATAATAAGCAATAAATTGTTCCTGAAGAGAATTTGGGATTTTGTTTTTTCATGATAGCTAGAGAATGGGAAATTGAGCCTCAATCAAATGAGGATAGTTTCTCACTGTTTATTCTTGAATTATTGCTTTGTAGATCTGTTGTGCATACATGTTTACTGTTCATTGACGAAAAAGTGCCAGAGTGGTGATAGATTATCTTAAGGCAAAACTGGTGCATTCACATTGCAAAATTCTGAAAAGTGAAAACTCTAAATTATGTGGTTGAAGGCTTAAAGTCAAATTTATGATATTCAGAGTTGTCAATAAGGTTCAGCTGAGGGTTATTTATTTTTTATTTATTTTTAAATGCTACATTGAGGTTATAGGATGCTTCAGGACATGGAATTTCCCATAGCATTTGTTGGTACTGTCATTATTTGCTATATACGGGAATCAAATATGTTTATTTGAGCAGTATAATTTGTGTAGGAATCATCTTAATTTTCTGGTCATTCTCCCCTATTAAATTAGATCCTGAAGTTTGCACTAGTTTTAACTCTAAGAAGATTGTATTAGGTCTAATAAGCATGAGCGTACATGTATTATTTTGGTAAATCTTATATGTCAAGATTACATAGCCTCCTTTCAGCTATTAAGTGCTGTTATTCTGTTAATGAGCATAGACTCGTTTGTCAGCAGTGCTAGTTTCCACAGTGCTCCTGAGGGTTATCATACCTGAAGTGTGATGAAGCTAGCAGATAGCAGCTTCCAGAAGTTAAGGGTGTGTATATGAGATCCAATAGCATACCTTAAGCTCATCAATTTAGTCCATTAGTTGAGTTAAAGGGATGGCTGCTGGAAAGAATTAGTAGTATTTAGTAGGCCCTTCTAGTATATGATGAATTAGTGTGGAGGTGATGATTGAACTGTGGACTCTATTGATTGAGACTATAGCCCTTAAGGATTTCAGAACCAAATTCTGTACTTATATACTAATTACTAGTACCGTTTAGAAGCATTGTAGAGAAAAATGAGAGTTAAGTTGACTTCAGCGTTCTTTGTGATGTTGACACATTGATACTATGCATTTATGAGGCAAGAACTATTCATATGGTGTAGATTTTGAAAGTTTTTTGTGGATAGTATTTGGACACTGTGTAATTGTCTTCTTTGACCTATCACCTGGTCAGAAATTATTTACTACTTCATATGTGCTTGTCATTTCTGACTTGTGATGGCGTGGAAATGGGGATCACTATATGTGAATATATATGCTCATGGGAGGATTTTTTTTTTCTCAGTTTTATCAATATAATGCGTCAACTTGATTATATTCTGTTCTTGTCATACTGTGGTAGAATTTCAAATTTATGCTGTGTCTTGTCTACATTGACAGGTTTCAGTTGGATACTTCCTTTCTGATATTGCCATGATATTTTGGTTTTATCCTGCTTTAGGTGGAATGGAATATGTAAGTAATACCTTAACTTTATGTTTCACCTTATATTGATGTATCAATGGAATTTAAGCTAGCTTATTAGTTTAAGCTGCTAAGCTTAAAGAAAGCAACAAATACTTGAGCATGGAGGACCAAATGTTGTTGGTATCATGTTATTTTTTTTCCTAAAATTTAAAGAGAAAAAGACATATTTTTACCCATATAGTTCATCTTTACAGGTGCTTCATCACGTTTTGTCAACGGGAGCACTAGCATATGCTATGTTGAATAGTACAGGGCAATTCTATACATATATGGTTCTTCTTTCTGAGATAACAACACCAGGGATCAACATGAGATGGTAACTCTTTTATCATTTTGTAATCGTGTTAATCAGGAAAAATCTGTTTTGCCATTCCCTTGTATATGATGTGAAGCTTTTGTTGCTGAAGGTATCTCGATGCAGCTGGGATGAAAAAATCCAAAGCTTATGTTGTTAATGGAGTGGGTATATTCTTGACTTGGCTGGTGAGTACTGAGTACAGTTGTTCTTGTTCACCATTTTCAACAAATACTTGACCTTTATTGAAATTTAATCATTTTCAGTTGTTCTTGTTCACCATTTTCACTACACTGTCAACATATATAGTTTTGTATTGTCTAGAAAGTAGAAACTGAACTAAACTGGGATCATGTTATGGGTTAGATATGTAAACTAAGTTGGTGACATTTGTGTGTAGCTTGTCAAAACTGCTTCCTGAAATTTTTTCTTTACTCTGTTGCAGGTTGCTAGGGTTCTTTTGTTTATGTACGTGTACTTTCACATCTATTCGCATTATGATCAGGTAAAGTAGTGATTCTCTTGTAAATTCATACTCTTATGTTTTTCTGATGCCATGCTTATCCTGTCTTAATAATTATCCATGTACCAAACGTAGGAAGATTTTCAAAAATTAATTTGAATTGTTAGATACAAATAACACACAGCTGGTTCATGTTAGATGAGATTGTGGCACTAAGGTTGGATTTTACTTAATATTCTCTTCTGACAAGGCAAATTTATCTTAGAGATTTTTAAAGCTAATTGATTTTGTTGGGTAGTGTCCTCAAATGAGGAATGGCAGTTTTGATTGCATACAATTATACGCATGCAACCATGAATAAAGCCTAAAGTAGTTTCGGAGTTACATATATCATACAGGCTATAGATAGTGTATATCAGACCAATTGACTTTAGTTAACGATACTTTTGTAATTTTGTTACATCATTCTGTCGTTTAATGTCTTCTTTACTTGTTTTTCAGATCAAGCAGCTGCCACGCTTTGCATATTTACTTACTCTAGGTGTCCCGTGTGTGATTGGAGGCTTGAATCTGATGTGGTTTGCAAAGATTACGAAAGGAATGATTAAGACATTGACTGCTAAGAAGGATTAATATAGGTCAAAATTGCATTTGTTACTCTGCAACTCTGTGCATACTCTTTGTAAATGGTATAGAAGGTAAATCAAAATGAAGCTGACTGATATCATACTGAAGCAAAATCTCTAGCAGGCTGGGTATGTGATAGAAGACATTCATAAACTGGTGCACAAATGAAACAGGATCGGTGAATATGCAGTGGTATTTTGTATGAGTTACACGATAAGAAAAAAAAATTGTGTATTCAAACAGAATTTCTTCTGATACATCTTTAACACTTGTATATCAACATTGGATGTATATATGTATAGACATCCTCATATGTAGAAGCTTGGTTCATCTTGTGAAACGAAGTCCTTGTGGTTCTGAAAGCATAAACCGGTACTTCCTACAGGTAGCCTAATCCAAATAACTGATGATCTTAAAATGGTCTGATATCCAAATGATCAGACATGGTTTATTTTGAGTTTATGACATATTTTGCTAACTTTCTTGATGGCATGCAATTATATGGCTATAAAATTGGTTTGAAGTCATTTGAACCAATATTATCCCAAATGACAACCAAAATTTGGAACTTTGCATACGGAGTAATCTTTACCTTGCCACAAATAAATTTTTGCCAAAGATATCATTAAGAGAAACATGGACTAATTTGTGTCATCATTTTGACGCATATTATTTCATAAAACAAGGGGGTAATTTACTAACAATCTTATCCTAAAAATCTATTTAAAATCTATTTAAAAATCTTAACACTAATTTACTTTTATATGGCAAATGCTCCACCCAAGTTAGTCCTAACAAGAATAAACCCACAACCTTATGATCATAAAACACATTCTCTACCACTAGATCAAGTACTAGTTGGTTTTTATATTCCGTAATTGAGAAATGTCAACTTTTTAGTATTACCAGGGTAGGTACAACATCATACTATTAGATCCTAAAATTAAATAAATTAAAAAAAAATCATCTAACTATTTGAAGTTTTGAACTACCATTCCATATCTACGAGTCAAACTGTAAACCCAAGTTCAAGAAGAATAGAAATAATTTTGAGTTTGATCCCCATTGCATTACTCTCTGTTATCTGTATCAGGGTATTGATTCAGACGCTGCTCCGGCCACAGCTGGCTCGATCAACACCACCACTTTCCAGGTATGTACTTACTTACTACTTAGAGAGAAACTATCTTATAAACATTGTTCTCTGCCTGTTTCAATCACAGTTAAAAAAAAGAAAAGAAAACTTCAATTAAAGAACCCAAATTTTCAATACTTCGATCTTTGTTCTCATGTCACTGTTTTCTCAAGCTCTGCTGCCAAATTATGACAGCTTTACATTCAAAACTTCTATCCATATACATAGCTAAAATCATGTAATTCAACACAAAAACAGAAAAGTCCTCCGAACACGAAGGAAGAAAACCAAAATATATGTTTTCTCCTCCAGTTTTCATTTCTTTGTCAACACAGAATCTGTTTGTCATCAAATTTGGCAGAATTAATTTTGACAAGTAACACATAAGTTGAGGTAATCAGATGAACATGATCCATCAAATCATATACTCTCATGATTTCACATAATAATCAGACGATTAGTGGAACAATCTACAAGCATTGAGCAAAGACAATTCACACACAGGAAGAACTCTTCTTGGACAGTTCACTTTTGCCATCCTGCACTTCATTTCGGGGATAAGACTATAAGGGTAACAATCAATCCCAGTACATCACTTGAGGTTTACTTATTCATTTCTATTTCCTTTATTTACCCTCAGCGAATTGAATGATATTGGGTGATTCCACGCTTTGGAGGGAGCTTCCTCAATATAAAGAGAACCAGAGAAGAGGGTAGAATTTCCACCAACTGAAATGAAAAAGAAAAATAAGAAAATTTAGAATGTATTATAATACCCCCAAGGCATTTTTCTTTTGGTAGAATGTATTATAATACCCCCAAGCCATTATTTTCCCTTCTATTCATTAGCAAAAAGTAATGTAAAAATAGAAAAGGATTAAACTCACCAGATAGTACATGAAATTGAGAACTGGATGATCTAAAACGTCAAGATCAGCGGCTTTATCAAAAGCATTGAAGCACATCTGCAACACAGAATAGGAGTTAAACTCAATAAAGAAGACCCTTTAAATACTTCTCTAAACACACAGATTAGGTTTTTTTTTTTTTTTTTTTTTTTGAAAAGTGTTTCCTTGTTGATTAGATTTGTAAAGTTGTTTCTGGAAAGGCAAGAAAGCTGATTTTACAGCCTTTCATATCAGTCAGATGAAACAAATATTAGTCAGTGAGTAACAAAGACCAAATACGAGAATTTCAGATTGCCACCTCCAACAAGTGCATACCATTCACAAAATTATGATTAACTGTTTTCTAATAAGTACAGAAAAAACATGTATCAGTCCTAAAAGACACTGAGCACTCCACCTTTTTCAATTGCATCCAAACAACATTTATGTTCTGTTTGCCTAACATTCATATTAGAGCAGCAGATTGCTACGGAGTATTATTTTGTCAAAATTCAAAGCTTCATTGAGAAAGTCAAGAACATTGGCAACTTTAAAATCCTAGATGCATATAAGCAAAAATTAAGGAGTGAAGCTATAAAGCCTTAAAGACAACACAACACTTACCATAACACATCTTACGAGGAAACATGTAAAACATATTGTGGTTACATAGCCAACCTGCAAAAGGTGCACAGCAACATTATTAATCACAAGGAATGCCAAATTTCAAAAAATAATTTAAAAAAAGATCTGTGAACATAAACCCATCGGGAGAAGAGGGTTAAGACAGAGAGAGGAATGCACCTCCTGAAGCTTTTTACGTCGTCCTTTTGATTCTACAGGGAACCGTTGCAACATCAAGAAAAGCCTGCCCATAAAGACCATCAACAATGGAGGTATACAAATAATGATAAACAAAGCTAAAATTATAACAAGAATCTTCTTTGTATGTTCAGGATTAAAAAAAATATTTGATCTACAAACACTTTAAAATAGAAACAATCACTCCACCTAAAGGGTTAAAGCAACGGAGATATACTGTGAGAAACATGAATATAGCTACAAGAAGAAAGCATATTGCATAATCAAATATTTACATATACTACTGCTGAGATGAGACACCACAAGCCTTGTGGAGCTCCATCACCAGGTGCAGAAGTGCGAACTAGACTCTTTCACTACACACAGGGATGCGCCATAATGAAAAACCCAATAGAAAACTACATCACCAAGAGTTGGAGGCCATGTGATGAGAGAGTGAGAGAGAGACCAGCGCAATTACCAAATAATATAACGTTGCAATAAATTTGAAACTTCCTTAGAAGGGAAGTGTAGTGTAATGGACTGAGCTTACTGCTAACTTACACCACGCAAATAACAGGAAAATAAAGAGAAAAAGTTTAATTCTTTGGGTGAACTATATAATCTGTTTTTTTTTTTTTTTTTTTTTTTTTTTTAAAATTGATTAAATATGAAGAACTAATAAAGAAAGAAGCTTTAATATTGATTGATAATGGTGGTATGGTTACAAAATGATAGGGTTAATAGCTTTAGGCTATCACTCTCAAAATAGCTTGAGGCTATCAATGAGCTTGAGGCTATAACTATCTCTAGGTTTCCCTAACAATTTCTGCCTATCTTTTCCTTTCCCTTCTCTCTCTATTTACACTAACACTAAGGACTACTAACACAATAATGCTAGACTTCCCAAATTACCCCTCCTAAGGCTAGGCTATTACATGTTCCAATATTTTGGAACAGAGGAAGTATCAATCAGGTTTCCTACCACATTTCCAACATAATTAGCGCCTTCTCTCAAATGAGAAGGATAAGGACAAGAGCGTTCTTCATTGTGATTCAAAAACAGCCAAATCATCTTTCTCATAGATGAAATCGAAACTCTATTTCTAACCGTGGTGCTAAGCGATAATTCAGCTCAATCAATCCAAGAGCAAGCATCAACGCTCAAGGTGGAAGTGGTAAAAGCATGGTTTACAGCAATGAGCTTGAGCTATTCAGTTTCTCAGCTGGAGCTACTATCAATTTCTCAGTCTTTAAAAACCTTCTTTTCTCGATCAACCACCAAATATAGGCTGAGCTCGATATTGGCAGGCCTGCAGTCTAACAAAAGGCCCAAGCCTTGAAAAACCTACCAAGTATCATGCTCAGCCAATAGAGACGGTCCATTAGAGCTTCTACAGTTGTATTAAAGACACTATTGCTACCAACAAAGGGAAACCATAAATCCGTTTTAAAATGTTGGTAATTGCATGCCGATTTTGTACATGGTGTCAAAAGCTTAGAAGCTGACTGGCCTGGCATAGATCATAGCTCACATCATAAATTCATAACAGCTTATTTGGAGAAATTGGAAACAGGACACATGTCAACCTTTTGTCCAAGGTTCCACAGAAAAGCCAATTTCCTCCAGTACAATCTCCATTAACTGGGAGCAAACACATGAACTCTTCTTCATAATTTTTACAAATTCAATGAATGAAGTTGCAATTAATTACCTTCCTCCATAAAGAAGAAAACCAAGAGCTGCAAACAAAGACACGCCTGCCAATAACATGCACATACGAGCGGTCAGATAATTTAAACGTTGTGTAATAAGCCTAACAGCTTGTAAGTAGTAAACTAATTGGAGACATACCTGCGAAAAACATCTTTGACAAAACTACAAGAAGAGGGATTGGTTTCCACCACAAGATCAACCACAAAGCGATCTGGAATAGTCAAAGGGAATATTTAGTAACAGAATCACTGTCAATTATCCAGCAGAAAAATCTCACTGTCACTACTACAGTAATAGGATGCTGCATGTCAATGTAATTGATGAAACTTGAACAAGAACAAAAAGGTGGCAGAACAATAAAATAAAAAATGTATAAAAATAAAAAAAATAAAAAAAATTAATTTAAAAAAAAGGTGCAAAAGAATTAGTAGCATACAAACTTGAAAAGATACAAATGAATATCAATTGAAAAAGATTCACAGACCCAGCTCTATTAGAAGCAAGATTAAATGACATTACACTATGAAAATCTATGGATCAGATACAGCCATGTCTACAAACGGTCAAAACAGCTTTTTCTCGTACAGGAATCCCTTGCATAAAATTCAATGCAAATGCACATGAGGCATGTAAATATCTTGATAATGTAAATCTAAATATACGAGCTCTCCCAAAATATCCAATAAAATTGACTATAAAACCAAATATAAAATTCAAGAACCCTTTCTAATTTCCTAAATCGAGCTTTCTTTCTTTATTCTATGCTTCCATCAATGAGCAATGTTACCCACCTCAATCTAACATTTGGTGCCTTAAAAGAGAGCAATTCCGATGATGCTACCTTATCACTAAATTAGAGAACTAAAAAGCAAATCGGAGAAAGAACAGAACGCAGCAATGTTACCCCCCTCAATCTAACATTTGTGCCTTATTGTGGCACAAAAGAGAACAATTCCTATGATGCTACCTTATCACTTAAGTGCAGAGCTAAAAAGCAATTTGGAGAAAGAACAGAAATCATTAGGTCTAACTATCTAAGGATGCCTCATGTGAGCATCCTGCAAGTTTCATCAAGTTTCATACCCAATTTCTTTGTTGCTTGGTGCTGTGTGTCTTCTTAAAAACTCTCCAATAGTGTTGACTAATAAAGGTTATACAGGTGGATGTGGAACTGCTCAAAGCCTCAGCAAGTTTCATACTAAATCAGGGGTGTAATTCCCAAAAAACAAAAACTAAAAGACTGCAGAAATGCCAAGGTCAAAAGTTCGAAGGATTGAGTATTAAATAAAAGATCTTGATTACACCAATTACAATCTGTCATACAATCATCCATAAGTTGCAACATCAAAGTTTAATATGTCTAAAGCATTAAAAGAAAGGCTTGGGTACAGCTAACTTTATCAGGAAATCAATCAACCATGTCATGGGTCCACATCATTTTACTTTAAGAGGAATGCCATGATAGATTCAACTATAATATCAACTTTTTAAACTAAAATATAAACAGCAACTAATTTGGGCTGCAATACAACACAACATCTTGTATTGGTCAAATAAACTGCCTCAACAATCTTACAACCCCAAAACCACCCTGCTTCCCTTCCTAAAAATAAAGTAAGAGGTATAGATTAAAAGGATGCTACATTAATTTTAAAACAGTCCTCCTATGTAGAAGAATATTCACCTGAATGGTATAGACCACTGCATTAATTGTAAAGAAACTAGGCCTGAGGCCATCAGTAGATACAGCACGCGCCTACCAAAGACAATCATCAGTTAAGGAAAAGCATGTATAAATAACACAATAATCAAGTAGGAAAAAAAAAAAAAAAAAAGGTGAAAAACTAAATATCAACTCAAACCTGATAGTATATCTCTGCCCAAAACAAGACCAGCAGTACATAGGTAGTGAAGAATGCAAGACTCGGCAAATCAAGCAAGATATGCTGGACAAGCTGAATTGCATAACATAAGAAGTACCATAAGATAATCTCAGACCAACACAACACAAGCAAAGAACAACAATGCAACCAATGAAAATCAAATGATGCCTAACCTCAGGCTGCAAGCGCTGCACATCACGGCGAAACACAAAAACTACACATCTAACTGCACAAACATCAACATACAATAATTAATAACTATCCACTTAAGAATGTCACCAAAATTAAAAAAATCATCAACCAAATAGTGCTACTACCGCGAAAATCATCAATTCAACATACCTCCATTAACCAGGAAATTCAGAAAATGAAAGACCTTCTGAGTGGTCCATCCGTACTCAGGAACTCTCAATTGTATTCTAATCAATTGTACCTACATCACCCACACAATATGTCCCACAAAATCAATGACCCTTGAAAGCAAAAAATTCCATAGAACACCTAAATTCATCTACCTTCATCTCTGAATCAACATTACACTTTCATATTCTAATTTTATTAATTACAATACATAATAAATACCAAATCAGATCATATGGTCTATTTTCCAAAATTCAATTCAAATTAGATTAAACCCAGCAAAACCCATCAATTATTTTCACCAAAAAAGCAAGAAATCAAACAAATTAATACCATAAAAACCTAGAAATTTCAGGGTACTAAAAAAAATTACCAGGGCAACAATGGAAACAATCCCATATAAAAAAGATAAGATATGAAAAATTCGATCTTGCCAAAGAAGAGAAGCATTGATATCATTCCACCAATTAGAAGCGTCTTTCATAAGAAACGCTGTCACCGCCAGCGAAGGGTCCAGCGTTTCCGCCATGAAAATCCCAAAACTAAAAACTTCGAATTTCAGCTATAAATTGATTCTACCCTTTTCAACTTTTTGCCCCAAAAAATTAATTCTTCTTTTTTACGGCAAAAATACCGGGAATTAAAGATTTGGGCAAGAAATTTTTTTCTGATTTTTGATGATGGTAATTTTATTATTGATTTTCTGCAAAGAAAAAAGCCAGGAGAAAGGAAATTTCGTGAATTAGAGAAAAAGAATGTTGTTTGGTTTTGGCTTGTGTTTTTGTTTTGTGTTCGTCTTATTTTTATTTTATTTTTTTAAATAAAAATTGATTTTTGTATTATTATGATTTTTTTTATTATATTCGTGTTTTAATTATTTCTTTATTTTATTATTTTTTTCCCTGGTGGAAGAGAGCTGGATTTTTGACGAAATAATGCACGTATTAGTTGAAGTTAGGGATGATAAATACATTAAATACTCCATGAAAAAACCACGTTTTTCTTTCTTTTTACACTGTAAACTTAGTTTGAATTTCTTAAAAAGTGCTACTTAATTTATTCTAAGTAATGATGTATGGTGTGAAAGAATGTAATTGTGAACCTAACAGGACATTTATTCTAATTTTCGATACACGGTATATAACATACTCAACCAAAATGATCGCATAAAATTTTCACTTTCTTTATCTTCTATTGTTTGATATTTTATGTAATTTACAACTCCTAGCTAGTTTAATCCAGTTAATATTACTTTCCATGTTTTTTATTTCCGCTTATTTCATTGCCGAAAAATCTAATACGAATATATCTTACTAAAATCATACATGTCTAACTCTAATATAAATATTATTTGTTGATGGATGGAGTATTTTTATTGACTTATGTAATTGTACATTTGTACATACATTGATTTAAGCAAGAAAAGAGATAAATAATGTTGCATAAACCTTAAGTTACTTATAATAGGTGGTAAGCATCGTGTGATTTGGCACATAAATGAATCGTGATAGGTGGTTTATTTGATACATATATAAATAATACTCCGTAGTAATAATAATAATTTGTTATATATTATTTTTATCTTAATTCTTGAAATACTTATTTATACTATTTTTTGTGGCTTTGTTTATTGATCTCCTTGAACATATTGGACTTCGCTTTCTCATCATACATGTATAGCTTTTCCTGTGCTCTAAATACTGTCATGATTGTGATGGTCATACAGTTGTCAACTAACTAAACTACTAATTTGGTGAAATAAACTTGTGGTGCAATAAACTTGGTTTTATAGAGCCACAAACAATATTACAAACAGGTTTATGGGTTGTTGTCCACTCCAATACTGCATTTTCGTCCGGCAACTTCTTGAAGAGGTACTGCCAGTTATCTTTCCTAATCGCGGTTTTTTTGGGGGGAGAGCAAGAAATCTAATTCGACAGCTGTTTAAAATGCAAAAGGTTTTTTTTTTTTTTTTTTGAAGCAAAAATGCAAAAGGTTAAGCACAATGTGTATCGGTGTATAAGTTGATTTGGTATGAGGATTTCTTCCTGTGATTTCCCTCCATTTCACAATTGTTTGAGCCGAATTCATCAGAATAGGCCTAATTTGCCTGAAATAGTTCATGTTCTTGTATAACAGAGAAAATTGATTACAATTTCAGCTGCTGAGTAAGGCTCCACCTAATACCTAATTTCAAGTGGAGAGAAACCCCAATCAAAATAGAGATAGTTACAAAAAAATGATCAAGGAATAGAAGAGAATGGCAAGCACAGAACATTAACAACAGCAGCTCCAGGACGAAAATTTGGAAGGTATTCGGCCAGTCTGTCTGATATACTCGGCCTGCTGCTCAGCCTTTGTTGCTTGCTTATTCATCTTCATTTCAGCAGCTGCCCGCTTTTCTTCAGCCTTGTGCCTTGCAGTAGCAAGCTTGTTCATGAACTTATCTTGTGCTTTGGCTTTCATTCTTTCCACCTCAACCTGAACAGTTAATTTTGGTGATGAAATTAAGACGAGTATGGCAGATTGGCAGGACCTCAACTAATCTCGTACATTATAAACAATCAAAATACTTAAGCACATAGTATAAATTTCTACGATGGTAACAAATGGAGTACTCTGTTCCGAGAGAAATAAATTAAATTTACAGTCAATACAGGAAGATAATTTTTGGGAATCGCAATGTATCACTCCGTATACATAACATATATATGGGGCGAAATGATTAGCTTCTAACGTTGTAAAGGTTATACCATGCTGCCCTCGTAAAACCTGGATTTACAACAGAAGAGTCTCCTGAACCAAGATACCAGGAGGGAAACTACTGCTTTAGTCCAATGCTTGTAATTTTGAGCAATTAGTTATTTTATTTTTTAAACCAAAAAATACCTTTATGTGATTTTTTTTTCTTTCTCGTAGCAAATTTTAACAAATAAAATTGTTTCTAACTCCTTATACACGCACCATCCATGAGGACTTTAAATTGGTAATTCAATGGAGTACCAAGATATGGGATGACAGATACAAATCACAGCTAACTGGTCCAGGGAAAGCTTACGATTCAATGCAGACAAAAATTGTTTACTCCATAATGAATAAAGCAAACAATAAACAATTTGTAAAATATAATAACAGTTAAATCTTAGAAGTACCTCGTTTTTCCTCATCTCAGCCTCAGTTTTAGCTTTTTGATGATTTTCCCATGCTTGGATCTTCATTTCTTCACGTTCAAACCTGAATAATCTATAACTACGTTACTTTTTGTCCAGATAACACTCAGAAAGGTTTTTAAGATATATAATAAATAATCAAATTTGGTTCTGTAGAGTTGGAGTAAGTTTATTTGCTTTTCAAGTGTAAACCAATGGAAGCCAGGCCAAAAAAGGTCTCTACTGGTCTTGCTTCATTCGGTGATGTCTTGCTAGTTACTAGCCCTAGGTGGCTAGGCTCTCCGTATTACAAGCTCAAAGAGACAGATTCACCATGGTGAAACCAAAGATCCCTAAACATGTACTCCAACTACCCACGATACTTTTTTGGAGGGAAGTTGGTCGTAGCCTAATTGGTATTCAGCATACACGACCATCAGAGAGAGAGATTCACATTGAATCTTTTTTTCAGAAGTTCAAGACAACAGAAGTTCAGAGCCGCATGCATTCAAGACAACAGAAGTTCCCAAGGTCAGATGTTACAAAGTACGAGAAGTTAGCATGAATATCTAATATCTTCACATTGAATCTATTTTTTCCATTGACTTCCCCAGTAAACAATTTTTCTAGCACACATTCTCCCACTCCAGACACCAGCTTTGGACTTTGGTGAGACCTCTTGCTGGGTTCTTTGGATAGTCATATTACATTGAGCTTCCCTAATATACATTTCTTTCAGAAGGAATATAAACCGGGCAAGTGGAGACCTATGTCACCTACCCTTGACTTCTTTTGTGTTTCCACAGCACACTGAGAGGCATACAGTGGATATATTACCTTAGATTATCATGATTTTCTAATTTCTAGATGGCTAGATTGGCTACTTGCAAAAAAAGCCAAACATTTAAAGATGAAGTGCAGTCTTCCCTTTTTCTTCTACAAATACCAGTTAGATACTTTTGGTGGAATATTAAACTCAGAAGCAAGGGCAGAATCTGAACCATCCCACTGCACTTGAGTGGGATGATCCTAACTAAAGGAGAACAGTATTCAGCAATTACGTTACCCACTACAATGGAATACAGTAGTGGGGGAAGATCACTTATCAATTTAGCAGAGAAGGCTATATACCACATAAACCACTAATAAATCTGGATGCATTAATAACTACCCAGGTCCCAAAATAAACCTTCAAAGCCACACAACATTGCAAGAAAAATTTGGATGGTTTCACAATATATGAACGCAAAGATAAGAGAATACAGTACCTTGCTGTGTACTTTGCTTTCTCAGCCTCCTCCCAGGCTTCCGCTCTTGCCTCAACAACACTCTTGGACGCTTGTCCTCCAGCCATTGTGTTAGCTGAAGATGATGTTTCTTCATCATCTTTACCAGCCCATGCAGCTATATTCACCTTACCAAGCTGCATGCCAAGTTCCATTATTTCTTTTCTAGTTTTCATCTGCATCTCCTTCTCAGAAAGTTCCTTTCTCTGCTGGTTTAAACTGCCATTTATCATACTTGTCTGTGCTGCTGAAAGATTAGCTCTTTTAGGCGTTGATGACCTTGAAGAAGTAGGACTGTGCATCGGTGATTTTACCTTAACAGGAGTTCCAGTTCTAGAAGGTTCCTGGCTTGCTATTGGAGTCATCTCTGTACCCATATCCCTCATGGAAACAGATCTGGCAAATGATTGCGGAATCATGGCTGTTGATGTTTGTATTGATATAGATGAATCATGTTGACTGAGATGGACTACAAAAAAAAGAGAGCAATGTGTTCATTTATACAAGTGCCGTTGATGGTAAGCCATAATATAGTTACAAAGTAAAGTTGTAAAACTAGTAAAACTGAGCTTGACAATTATATAGATAAAGGAGAAACAAAATATTGAAGCCTTTAGTAAACTCTTACTTTCAGGATCGCCGATAGAATTTTCAATCATATCTGCTGCTTTTCCATGTAGATCAGCATGTGAGTATGGTTCTGACCCCCAGTTCACCAATTTTTGGGTGGCATTTGCTTTCTTAGCTAGATTTGAATCCATCCTCTTCATATCAGGCTCTTCAAAAGCAACTAATTTTTCATCTGGAACTTCATGAACTACTTTCGTAGCAGTTTTTCTACCTCCATGGCCGAAAATGTTAGTCTTCCTAGCCCCTTGCACACCATGTGACTGACCAGTCTTTGGTCTGTTTGAAGTAGGGCTTGCTATCCACTTCTGTGCATCATCCCATTTCGATGGTGGTGGCTTTGAGAATGGTGCAGCTGGCACTCTTGGTTGCCCACGTTCTGTCTTCTGAAACTCGAAAGCTGATGACACCACACCCAAGTTGTCATGCCCGTTTTCATAGTCTTCCTCAAACTCTTCATTCAACCCAATTCTTGAGCTGACAAAATTTTGATCTTTCAACTTACGATCTGGAATCATTTCTGAATCCCCAGTTGTTGAGGTCGAGCATTCAACAAATTCACGCACAACGTCCACATCCTTGTAACTTTCAGAATAATCAGTACCTAAACATATTTGTTAGAATATGAACTTATACCATCCCAAGTACTAATCTATGACATCATAGACTATAGAGTATTAAAACTCTAACTGTGTCAAGATGCACCTTTTTGCAACAAATTATTGTAGCATTGGTGTCAGCATGAACTAAAGATATGACAAACATCAATTCTACCTGTACTAATAATTCATCATACAACCTCACGGTAATTACATGAACTCTGATATTGTCATTGAATGTAAAATTTGATGAACAAGCTCCCATAGTCTTTAGGGGTGATTTAAATGGGTTTTTTTTTTCAGTTGAGTGTAGTGTGGTGTGATGAACAGGCTCCCATTGTCCCTAGGGATGGTTTCATACTAAACTGATCAAGACGGCTGCCTCCTAGTGGAGAATAAAGAGAGAAAAAGAACCATATAGTAGTATATTACCCAGCAAGGCAAGAAATTTAGTTAAATACTATCCTAAGCACAGTATGTAATGAAACAATCCCACTAATTAGTAAATGGAATTGATCAACTTTATATGAACCTTAAAGGCTTTATTGATGAGCTCATTGCATAAACAGGTAAAGGCGATTCATTAGCTTTAAAACTAGCTGCACAAAACCTTTATGGCTTTAACACAAAAGTAAAAAAATTTGCCTTTGACTGCATCCAAACTACCCGCCCCCTTTATAGAAACTTCAGGAATCTCTTTTAGTTCTTTCTCTGATTTTGTTCATTAATCTTTTATAAATATATAAAATGATCACGCATACGAGTTTATGACCTTTATATTAATAATTGCACCTTTACATTTCTAAATACATAGTATCATTCAACAATAATTCAAAAAAATAGTTATACATTAGATAACACACATAAAATCCAAATCATAACATGTCAATAAAATTATAAAATTATACATTATCCAATAAATAAAAAACTATTCATATCACAAAAACTTAATTTCCCAACTTGATTTTGTACAAAAACAACACAGTGAAAGCAAAGTAGACGTCAACTAGCTTAGTTGATTAAAGTCTTAGCCGTAGTACCAAGACCTAGGATCAAATCCCGCCTTGGGGATTACGACATCAAAACCCTTAAAGACTAAGAAAATCAGACAGTGTAGCAATTATACCTGGATCATCTACACCAGAATGCTGAGATCTTAAAGAACAAGATGAATCCACTTCTCCAAGAAGCTCCCTCCTCTTCTTCTCTACTCCCAGTAACATGCTCCTCAGTTTAGCTGGTGACAACCCTCCTCCTTTCTATACCCAGAAAACTCAATTTCAAAAATCAAACTAAATACCAATAAATTAAAAAGAAAATAAAAAATTAATCCAAATACCAATAAATTAAAAAGAAAATAAAAAATTAATCCAACCATAAATAGGAAATTTGTAGAAAACCCCAGAAAACTCATAATCAAAAGCAAAACAAAAAACCCATAAATTTAATATTGTATTATAAAAAGTCAATTTAACCATGGAATAGTGCAGAAAAACCCAGAAAATTCAAAATTACAAATCAAACTTAAAACCCCAGAAAAGAAAACTAGTAATCCAGCAAAAAATTGGGATTTTGCAGAAAATAAAAAGGGGGAACTTAGCTAACCTGAGGTCTTTCAATCCTTTCGTACTCCATTAGAAAAGAAGTTTCAAAGATGAAATTTTTTTCACTTTCAATCTTCCATAAGAGGAATTTTCTCTCTCCTCAGTCAAAGAAGAAATGTAGCTTTTGCTTCCATGAATGAAAATGGCGTGTGTAACGGACAAATTATCAGCAAAAAAATGGAGCTCAGATTTAGCAGACCCTTTTCTCTGTCTTCTAGTGTGAGCCCTGTTTGTCTACACTGTTTTGAGTACACTGTAGACTAATAAAAAATTAATAATTTAATTTTGTCATTGCTTTAACTTTAATTTAATTAAATTAAAATTAATTTCGTGTACTTTAATTTTATGGAATTTGGATTTGATTTGAATAATTATGAAATTTGTGGACTTTGGATTCCGATCTATTAGCCGTTTTTGGTTTGTAATTAAGTGTTAAAATCCTATTTTAATACCCACAAATGAAGTAAAGATAATGGATTATTGATTGTTAAAAAAAAATATTGGATTATTGATAAGGAAATGGGGACAATGTCCTAGTAATAAGACCCCATCTTGATTTTGGATGATTAATAAAAGCAATGCACATGGGGCATGGAAAGATGATGAACATAATTTTTTATTAAAAGGGGCTTTTTTTTTCCTTGTCTCTTTTGGTGCTTGGTTATTGGATTGGCTTCAAGAGGACTCTGAATGTCTAATCTTGAACTATTTTATGTGTATACTTTTGGTCACAAAGTGTAGTTGATCGTGGGACGGATTTGAGTGGGGTTAACTCAGGATATATTTTTAAAAATCGACAAAAGATATTAGGGAAAACTATGATTGATGTTTGATTTAGACTTGAATCAATTTCTTTAAAGCAATTAGTAGTTCAGTCATATTGATCATCTTTAATTTCAAATAACTTAAATGCAATATTATTGTTTACCACCATAAATACCACAGTTTATATCATTCTTGTAGATAAGCTTCAAGTACATACATACACCAATACACCATCATGGCATCATACAAGATTGTCATATAACAATTGACAAATAAACGGGAATGCAATCACTCAACTTAGTGCCAAGCTTGAACCGTGTAATGGAGTTGAACAACTCTATTTGGACTCTTTTCATCAAGGCGTCTCGGCCTTGGCGGATATTGATATTTTGTGATTGTATGTGATTAATAATATGATGTTGCCCGTTTTTTTCTCTCATCAAGAAGTTTACCATTTGATACATTATTTAAATATTTACTGGAACTCCAATGGGAAAAAAAATATATATATTCTTTGCGAACTAGTCAAAAAAGAATAAATGATGTTGATTTCAAACATTGGGCATCACCTATAATGTTTTAATCGGCTAAATTAGCTGATTCATTTGTTCCTCGTATTGTCATAGGGCTCAATACATTGATGAACGAAAACTCGTCCCAAAGCAAATTACCGAGTAACGTACATCAAAGCCTAGTCTTGTCCATCTTATTTCAACATGAGTTGTGATTAATAAGTTAAAATAAGGGGTCGTTTGGTTCACACAGGGTAAACAGAATGGAATGAACAATGAGAATGAAAGAGAATAGAATGAAAAACCATTCTAAATGCTATAATGGGCTTGTTTGACATCAGTTTTTTTTTTAGTTTTCTGTTTTTTTGAAAACCAAAAACAGGAAACAACAAAAAGGTGTTTCCTCTTTTCTGTTGTCAGTTTTTAAAATTATCATAATCTTAATAAGTTTATATAATTTTTGATTCATTATGGGACACATATCATATACTTTTAGAAACCAAAAAACAGAAAACCACAGCAATGCCAAACGAACCCTATGTTGTTTGTTTACCAAAAAACAAAGAGAATCCAACCACCATTCTAAACACTACACCCCCCCCCCCACCACCACCACAAACACAACACTTTCCCTTTTCCAGCCACCCCACCCCACCACCACCTTCGCCGCCCCTCCCCGGCCCCAAATCGCCCCCTCTCTCCCCAAAAACCCATCTTCTTTCCCGAAAAAACCATCCCCACCAATGAAAAAAACCCTAAAAGCCCCTCCACCTCCAAGGAAAATAGTCGACCACCCCTTCCCCACCCTCGAAACTAGGGATGGCAACGGGTCGGACTCGGAGCGGATTATGCTAAATCCGACTCCGACCCGGCAGGAAGTCGGAGGTTAAATCCGACATCCGACTCCGACTCCGGCATCCGACTCCGACATCCGACTCCGACTTCAATATCCGACCTCCGACTCCGACTCCGATCCGACCTGACTCCGAGTTTTTTTTCATTATTCAATATACTTTGAGATGTTGGGCTATTTGGTCCATTACAACCCACAGCCAATGCCACCATGACCCACACAAAAATCCACTTTCTATTGGAGTCGGAGTCGGATAATCCGTTAAAGTCGGACATTTGTCGGAGTTGGTTTTTTTTCTCGGATTTTTTATAGGATCCGACTCCGACCCTCCTCCGACTCGGAGTCGGATTATTTTAACGGAGTCAAACTCGGATTACTTTTTTCTCGGACTCGGAGCGGATATTTTACCTCGGATCGGGGCGGAGTAAGGTCGGATCCGGACTAGATTGCATCCCTACTCGAAACCCTTGGGCGAGGGTTTTGAGGGTGGGAGGAGGGTGGCTGACTGTTTTTCGTGGGGTGGAGGAGTTTTAAGGGTTTTTTCATGAATTAATTTTTGGAGGGATAGAGAGGAGGGGCGACGAGAGGTGGGGGAGGGGCGGCGAGGAGGATCGGTGACGATAGGTGGGGTGGCTCGGCTATGGGGTAATTGTGTGATGGGGGAATAATTTCGAGAGGAGTGGTTGACTATTTTTCAGAGGTGTCGGTGGGCTGGGGAGGGGTGTCGGTGGGCAGGGAGAGGCGTGGGTAGGCGGGTGGTGGGCGGCTGGGTGGTGGAGGTAGATTAGAAGGTTGTGGTTGGTGGTGAAGTGGTGGGTAAGGAGAATGCAAAAGGCTAGGGGGTGGGGAATCAATTTAGGATAAAAATGGGTAAACTCAAAAATAAAATGGGGGAAAGGGAATGGCAAAAATGGACAAGCAAACAACAACAAAGGGAATGATACCCATTCCCTTTGATAATTAACCCCAACCAAATGGCCCCTAAGAGTCAGTGATTCCACGGAGCCAAAGATAAGGGTTAATTAACGACCTGTTCTCTTCCGCTTAATTTCAGTTCAATTCACTTCAGTTCTTAATTTATTTTTCTCATAAACAATTCATTTTAATTCAGTTTAGTTCATTAAATTTATCAGTACATAATTTTAATTATTAATCTATATAAAATAATTTTTGTTATATAAGAAATGTTAATTAACTTAATCTAATTGTTATTGATTGATCTACAGTTCTACACTAAGGGTTTGTTTGGTTCACCTTATTTTTTCTTATCTGATGTGGTCTGGTATGGTCTGATCTGAACTAAATGACAGATTTGACCAAATTTTGACATTAAATATACAATAACCTATACAGAAAAATATATCGAGTGGAGTCTTGTTAGATTCGTAATAATGTGTATTTTATTAATATGTGATTTTCATAATCTTTTCATTACGAAATAAAAGATATTTAGCGATAAGAAATTGCACATAAAACGATGATGTGATGTGTACCTTATTTTTCTAATTTGATCTGATCATAACTTATTTTTTTTTTTTTTTGTGAAACAAGTAAAAAGTATGGTAAATTAATCAAGACTTAATTTTAAGTATTCATATTTAAAATCCTCCCATTTTATAAATCCGAAAATACAATGATACCAAACGCGCCCTTAATTACGAGTAACAAAATTGTATATTTGTATGTTGATGATGGAAATACATTTTGCACAAATGCTGACATCCGAAGAGAATTGGCCCCACTCCATAACATTGTTCGCCAACGCTGTGTTGTTGGGCTGTTGTTGCTGATTTCTTCTTCGCTCCATTCTCCAACTCGCTGGATCTCGCTTCGTCAACTCATTCATTCACTCACTCTCCGACTTCTTACATCTTCTCTACTCCCATTTTCTTCTAATTTAGGGTTTCTCCGCCCTTAATTTCCAGGCCAATTTCTACTTCTCTTCTACGATCGATCATCAGGTAAACGCAATGATCTCCTTGTTTTTCTCTGTTAATTCACGGATTTTTGCCATAATTTATGCTTAATTCGTCATTTTTTGCTTCATTGTTTTGTTGATTTTATCATGCAGCTGAATTTTATGCTAATTGGTGGAATTTGATTCATGTCGTGACTTTTTCAGGGTTTGATTTTAAGGAATTTTGGGGTATTCTGAAAAGCATGGTAAATTTCTGCCATTTTTTATAAAAAATATATTTTTCAATTTGATGTTTGTAATCTATTAGTGATTGAATTACTAAATTTGGGTGAATTTTGTTTTCTAGAATTACCTCCTGGGAGCTTTCAAGCCTGCTTGTCATATTTCGATTGCATTTGCAGACGAAAAGAATCGAAAGAAGGTAACATTCTCGTTGTTTTAGTTCGTGGTGGAATAAGTAGTTGTATGTTGGCTATTGATTGAGTAGTGTTATTGTTGATTTTTCGCATTTTCGCCTTTGCCATCATGGTGCCAATGCTCTTGGGGGTGGGGGGGGGGGGGGAGTAGATCATTAAGCTGTCCAGTTTGTTTAGGGAAATTGAATTATGATGTTATGTTTAGTTGGTTATTGGGGGAGATTGGTTTTGTTTATTTATTTTTGTGTTAGCATTCGGTTGCTAAAATGAAATCGCTTATGTATCTTCTTGAAATAGGTTCCAATCAAGAAAGAAAATGGTCAAACTGTTATGGTTCCGCTCTTTCAAAGTCAAGAGAATATTGTTGGCAAGGTAAGGTTGTCAATCCAATTCAACATTGCGTTGACTGTGGTATGAATAAGACCATGACAGTTTAGTTGTATCGTTTTTATCCTAGCCTTTCTGATATCTGTTGTTGGGCCTTCGTAGATCTCTGTAGAGCCAGTTCAAGGGAAAAAAATTGAGCACAATGGCATAAAAGTTGAGCTTCTCGGCCAAATAGGTAGGCAATCGTTCTAGTTAACCTGGTTTATGATTGATTCTCATTTTTTTTTCTTGATTTTTAAGGAGTGTTCTCCCATTTTCTTGTTAAACGTTTTGAAACTCATAAAAAATATTAATTGGCAACAACTTTAATGTGTTTATAATCCTTTTTCTTTTGCAGAGATGTATTTCGACAGGGGAAACTTTTACGACTTTACCTCTCTAGGTAGGTGTTTTTTTGTCTGTAGATTTTCCATCTACATTTTCCCACAACTCTAGTTCAACTTCATTTTAATTATAAGGTGATCTTTTGAGCTTTATAACCTTGAGATAAGATGTATCTTTTGACACATTAAATACTTGTAGCTTAGTTTTGGAATCTATTGACTGTAAGACTTCATTTTATGCAAAATTCATAAGCATCAAGTATCTTGCACCTA